GGAAGACGCGCCAGCAGCACTTTATAGGTCTGCTGTATGGGACCACTTTGCATTTAGAGTGACCTACGATGACGGCGGAGAGAAAGTTGTGGATAAAAACAGTGTGCAAGCATTGTGCAACACGTGTTGTACTATACAAGGCATAATAGATTTTCCTAACAATCAACATATACCGAACCGAACCGAAAACCGTGACCACGAAACCGTGAACCGGACCGAACCGTAGATTTTGTGAACTGTTCCACCCCTAATGCAAAGTCATAATTTCGACTTTTTAAAGTCATAATTATGAGATAAAAAGTCATAATTTCGACTTTTTAAAGTCAAAATTATGATACAAAGTCATAATTTCGAATTTCAAAGTCATAATTATGAGGTACAAAGTTTTAAAGTCGAATACCTCATAATTTCTTACTTTGAAAGTCGAAATTCTGACTTTGTATCTCATAATTATCACTTTTTATTCAGGCATTTTTTACTTTCCTGTGGTGGAAGCGGACTTCCATACAGTTGTTCATAATGTTTCTCATTTTAAGAAGAATTCTTCTTTGTAAAATGATCTTCAGAGGTTCTCGAAGAGTTCCTAGAACAGAGCTGGCATCTTCCTACAAACACTGCAAAAACCTAAGATCCTAAAGAAGTTTCGTCTGCTCTGTCCCCTCCTATAGACGGCTTCACAGGTAATTTTGTGAACACAAAGGTATTTATACTCCACAGCTTTCATTTCTATTCCCATGATGGCAGTAGGATTCAACTTATTCCAGTTTTTATTTTCTACAGTCATCAAAAAAGCAGCCATCAGGACCCCTGCAGTTTGCTTGTTGCAGTAAAGTTGCAGTTGAAGATTCTATCACACATCTGCTTCAACAAACCTGCTCTAATTTAGACAAGGCAGACTGCACTCTAAGGATCCTGTTCTTTGATTGATCCTGTGCATTTAACAAGATTTAGTCAGAAACAGCTGACTGTGACTATTGACATAAGTAGAAAGGTTTGCTGTTGGCGTTTAATAATTTCACCAAAGGTTTAAACTATCACTGAGGCAGATGTTTCCCCTCTAGGCTTCTAGTTTATGATGTTGTGCTGCCTCTTGATGTTTTCTTGGATTGAGGAGGAAAAAGAGACATTTTGCCTGTGTAACAAGACAATTTACATTTAAAATACCAAAACACATTTTCATTGACTTATTTCAAGTGTATGTTATCTAATTATTTTATTTTAAGAGTGAAAATGCTGATTCCATTGGCAAACTATCTCATTTTCCTACTGAAATTAAGGGTAAATTGACACCAATTTGTCCTTTCTCTATTAGATGAACATTTTGTCTTCAGCCATGGTTGTTGAAGCAGAAGAAGACACTTTTTTTAGTGGGCGGTCTAAATTTAGTGCATGTCAGCTAAAATAAAAATACATAAAAACCACTTAATTTAATACAATGTACTATATTATATATTTGTTGGATAGAATATGTTGTTCTGTGCTTTTTCTGATGTGTAGATAATATTGTGGCTTTGCACACTGAAAAAACGATCTAGAAATAAGTAAATATTCCTTAAATTAAGTGTATTTACCCTTAATTTGAGTAGGTAAATGAGATAGTTTGCCAATGGAGTAAGTATTTTTACTCTTAAAATAAGATAATTAGATAACACACTTGAAATAAGACCATGAAAATGTGTTTTCTTATTTTAAATGTAAATCATGTTGTTACACTGGCAAAATGTCTCCTCAATCCAATATAAAATGCACTTATTGTAAGAACCAATGACTTATCAAGATGTACATTTTTTCAATGCAGATCCAAGTTATGGGCCTAAACTAAAACAGATTATATAAAGAAGGGATCCTGCTCCCACATTTAAAAATTTTTAATATCTCCTAGGCTTGTCCCGATCCGATCCACGTATCGGATCGGGACGCCGATATTGGCAAAAAAATGCGTATCGGCAAAGCATGTAAAATGCC